AGGTTTTGGGTGGGGCGCAAAAAGGCATGAAGAGCATAGTATATGGGTAATACTTTCCCGGTGACAATCCGCTTTGAGGGCGAAAAATGGTTACAGAAAACGCTGGCATAACTCCATGAGGAATCCGTTCCCCAACAGCCTTTCAATTTCCGTTCTCACAGAACGGAATCGCACAAAGGCAGGGCCCAAAGGTAAACAAATCAATAAGTTGGCAGGAGAGGAGCGCGAACGATTGCATCCTTATCAGGGCATATGTCGTCCTTGTACCTGTCGGAGGTGCAAAGCCGAAAAGGATACAGACACAGCCGCTGTCAGCCTAACCATTTCCGTTTAGCAAGCAAAACAATAACAATGAGATTTTTCCTCTCTGCGGCAGTCACTCGGAGATAAAAGCGGAAAAGAGGCCGCGACCGGAAAAGCGCATTTAACGCGATTTGATGGTTTACAAATTGGCTTAAAGGAACCGGAGAACCGGGGAACCGGGCAATCTGGGCCGTCGGGGCATCGGGAACACGGGAAACATCTCTGCCAACTGACGGCATTTGTTCGAGGGGTCGGAGGTTGAGGATGCGGCTTGTTGTGTTTGGATAAAAGATTGTTGCGATAGGGTTGCCAATGAGGGATCTACCGGAGACAAGGTATTCGTTATTAAATGAAGATGGGATGGAGTCGAGTGAGTTAGGGGATTCTAGATTGTTTTTCAAAGGCGAAAATAGTTTTTTCCTTGGGAGATTAAAAGAGTATGCAAAGGGTTAGAAGGGGTTCTTAGCTATTATTGAAATTTTAATTAGAATATTCCTGGAAATAAATTAAATTGTTTACGGATATGAGTGATTCTTTCTGAAACGTATCGATATTTTCTGTACGGCCTCAAAAAGATTTCATATTATTATCATGACATTTTACTATTTAAATAAAAAAAAATAATAATAAAAAAATATATCCATTTGACAAAAGCAAAGACATGTAAATACCTTTTATAACTAAATATATAATATATATATATTTAAAAATATGTAATTGTAAAAATAAGTATCTACATATTCATTTAAAAATGATGTTTTCAACATTTGAAACCAAAACAGAATATGCAAAGAACATAATTATTGTAACAATGTACTAAATCCGGCGTTAGTTAAACAATTTAAAAAATACAATTAAAATACAATTTAATCTTTTCTGAAAGCTGGTACCTTTATATTTCAGTATATATTGTTTAAGAGTTATATCGATCGAGCTGCTATCTTGGGCTGAAAATATTACCTAACTATTTCATAATCCAGTAGCATTATCTTCCTATGCGCTCGGTCCTCGTTCAAAGACCCCGCTTACTCAGAACTCTATAATTAAGTGTATTACAGGCGGTTATCATACCCTCGCACTTCCTTTGTTTGCTCACCTTTCCCAGAGGCGAACTGAAGCGAGTAAAGCGCAAATAACGCTGACTACTTATATTTACCAAGTATATTCAACTGGCTGGAATGTTGGTATCGGATCGGGTCTGACATAGGAAATACCCGGGGTTAATAACAGGCACAATGAACCACGCCGGAGTTACTTATTTGATGCCTTAATCAGCATGACTGCGATCTTTTAAGCGGTAATCTATCCAGACGATGTCAAATTCCAAAGGTGATGGATTTATGAGTTTGATTTTTTTTATCACGATCTTATCACCAGACTCCGTGGCGTCCCATTATATCTGTTGACCTCCTTTGTTTTGTTTTTACCCAAGCTGTTAGCAACAGTATTACGACATAACTCGGTTAATTATAGTGCAGAAATGCCAAAACAGGTTGAATAAGTTGTGTGTAATCTTGAAGTCATCACGTGAGCTGTGTCACTTGATTATTCTGCCTTGCGCATGCGCAACCGGTTCACACCTGTTCATTTCTGCCTGCCGGCGTCTGGCACGCAAAAAATATGAGCGTAAACATTATAATGATATAAATATTAATTACACTTTCGCGCGTTTTTATGATTACTCATTTTGGTTTTTTTTGGGAATAAATTAATATTTAAGGGTGCATTTTCTTCAACAGATGGTGAGTTTCGTTGTCCAATTGGTCTAATTAGATCGGAGCTTAGCGAGAACCGCAACCCTTGATAAGAGGAAATAGGTTGAGAACCACGCTAGTGATTGATATTGTCGTGGTGAATTGTTGAATTTGATTTGAAAAAAGGAACACAAGAATTTCCCTTTACGATATTGGAAATATTTATAACCTTAAAATACTTCAAAATTAATTAGAATTGTGTTAATAAGTATAAAAGTTTAAATTTTATGAAATTGTATTTTAATAATAGTTTCTAATGTAATCTATGTATCAAAACCACATAAAATTTTACTTTGAGACGAGTAAATCATATACTCTAAAATGTAAAAGGGAAATTTGGTACAGGCCAACCTATTTAAACCCAAGGTTAAAATAAATAATTTAAAATAATTAATTTTTGGATTTTTAAATTATCAATTTCTTATTTTACATTGTCATCTCTTTGTGAGGGGAAAAATCCGTTGATTGCATCCGTATACAAATAATTATAGCTTCTGAACCTTTATTGCCAAGCTAATGTAAAGAGCATGCAAGATTCCAGCTCGAACCAAATCGAACGGACATTTACAGCAATAATATCACCCCGCTTCAGAAAAACATTTGTTGTTTTGCCTAAAACAAAAAGTATTTAGCACATGTTTAATACAGAACGTAAATACTAATCTGACGTATGTATGAGCTGCCAAGATGATTGGTGAGCCACTCAAGATAAGGAATCACCGTGATAAACAATGCAACCGGCTACTCCGAATAAATCATGAGTACGCATATACTTGAGATAAATGTTAGAGCGAAGTGCCCGGGGGGAATGCCCACGAAAGATACCTGGAAATAACAATAAATTCACAACCCATATTTGAACACATGTGTGGCTTTGAAAATAAATATTATTTATACGATTTTAAAACAATAACTCAATCAGGCGGTGTTCCATTTCCACATTCAAGCTTTTAACCCAATTATTTCCATTCAATTTAGCTTTTAGCAATTAAAGCGCAAAAAGAGGTCATTTTAATGAACGCAATTGTTGATTGATTTGCCGAGCCAGTCGTTTGCAACCACATTTACGAGCACCACGAAAAAGATTCTCGGTAATCTATCAATTGGAAAGCCCGTGACAAAGCCTCTTCAAACCCGATTAGAGGACCCCCTTTGAGCACAAACAGTGCTCCAGCTTTAAGTGCTAATATCAATAAAATAATTCGAAATTGATAAAGCTCTAATCATGCGTCACTAAGCCTGTTCAGAATGCTAATTGCAATTGATGCTCATAAATACAGCACCACACACAGAAAAGTCAATATTAGCAAATGGAAAATTCATAATCAGGCATTCGATCGAATCAATTTGTGATTTACAAATAGTTAACCGCAAACACCGGAAAAATTACTTCCACTAAGCACACAGACAAAACAACTTTCTGCCACGCCCCCTTGGGAATTATGCAATTGCATTAAAGCCCAACATAATTGAAATTGTCCTACAACTACAACGTTTCAGACTTAATATCGGCAGCAAAGTGCAGCAGCCACAAATTGCAAATAATGAAATGAAACAAAATAATTAAATGCAAATTTTAATAAACACCAAAAAGATAATAAAACATGCACTGCACAGCCGTATAACAAATGTTGCCAAAAACTAATGAAATACTCGCTGCGAAATTGTCCGTGAAATGCTCACGTTTCGGCACATAATTTCAATGCATAAAATTAAATGTAAATGATATGCATTAAACATGAAATATGCATGGTCGGATTAGAAGTAGAATTTCAGATAGTTTTCAGCAGAATGGCAACGACAAATAAATCAAAGGCAAATGCATTAAAGCTGTTCTAAACTTTATATGCTTTGCTGAAAACGTATTTAGTTACATATTAAATAAATAGCTCTCAGTGCTTCAGATTGAAAGAAAATAGTTGAGAGTAAATACAAAAAAAAATTGTGGGATAGTACACAATAAATGGAAGTGGTTAGCATAAAAGATGTAAGGGGAATCGTAACCAATATTACACAATTGTGAGAAATGGAAAGTTGTAGCAATTGGAACCGGCAGGAAGAAAAACTAAGCTCATTTGAATAAAAATCTCTAATCATACCTATAGGAACTACATATTTATATATGTATTTTATATAATATAATAATTGTGATTTTAATAAATACAACAGTGTAATCAAAACATGTGTGTGGTTCATATGAATTTTTAAATTGGAATCATTAAGTAAATCAAAACTCCAAAAGACCGTAAATAACCTAAGGTTATAGAAGCTTAAACTATTAAGTGGGGCTATAATTCATATTTAATAAAAATATATATATCTGACGCCAGAAGCTTAATCAAAACAATACGTCACAATAAATAAACCAAAGAAAAATCTAAAAAAAAATCAATTGCTACAATCGACTCGGAATGATTACTGATTCGCTAGTTTTAGCTTTCGTAGGACTGCACGTGGAGAAAAATTTAACACAATTGCTTTTATAACTAACATATATTTAAAAATTTATAAAACAATAGGTTTATAATTAAAAAAAAAATATTTTAAATTATATTTATGAAATCATTCTATAAATCTTAAATTCAACTATAGGTACACCATTTGAAATCTCATTTTTGTAAGTGAAAGATAAGATATAAGCTTAGGATATGAATGATCCTATTGTGTCTTAATATAAAATACTTTAAAATATATCTAAAAGAGGTTTTTCATTTTTCAAAATTATTTTGAAACTAACAACTTTAGAGGTATTTTTTCTGAGTGCCATTCATATTTGTCTCCGGGGACCGCCGATCGGTTGATTTAATTTTTTGCGGCGTCTTCACGTCAGAAGCGGTTTGGGCCAGACATAGCTCAATCTCAATCGGAATCGGAATCCACATCTGTATCTGTATCTCAATCTCAGCATCGCCCTATGTTCCGTCATTCAGTCAGTCAGTCAGTTGGCAGTTCATTCATTCGGCTTGTTTGCCAAGAGTCGCTGCCTTTGGAGCGATATTTCGCGGTCGCAGTCGACGTCGCGCTGTCACCGCCGGCGGCAGTGGCAGTTAACTTCTCGCTGTTAACGTGGCTATAATTGCAAGACGCAAAGAAAGCAGTTTTAATTGTTGTAAACAAGCGCGCGAGTTCGGTTCATTTGGCAAAACAAAAACAAACGACCAGAAGTTCTCCGCGAGTTGTTCAATCATTTGTTATTGTTGATAGAGGTCGTGAAATTGAATTGAAAAATTAAAAGCGAATGGCGCCAAATGTTTAACTTTAAAAAAACGGTTATGTCAATCAACCAGTGAAGAAGTAAAACAAAAATAAAAAATACTTTAAATGAAAATGATTTATGAATGCTGTCTACGAAAAGTAATATTTCATGAAAAAGCTTCCTACTTTTCATTATTGCATGTTTGATGATTTGCTGCCTTTTTAATTAGTGATTACAGTTGTGAATATTATTCTGAAAGGCGGAAAAATATAAACAGAGAACTGTGATTAAAAAGTATAAATAAAAATTTAATTCTTAATGTCTTATTAAGGCATGTAAATAACGAAGCTAAAAGGTTAATGCAAATTTTTATTTAAAAGTTTATAATTATACAGAACCAAGATTTTTGGTCTTTTGTCACCAGCTTATCAATGAATTTTAACTGCCAATATATGCCTTATTTGTCATGACATTAAGATGATTTTTTGAACACGTGCCCCATGCGCCATATATAGTATTTGCACTATCAGTTCCCAGTCTGATCTAGTATTCATAGGCCTCCAATTATTTTGTATGCAAAGGCGTTGAGAGTGTAAAATTTTCCGCTTGATTTATTCATTAATTGCATATACTTTCCGGCTGGACTACTTACAATGTATACACTTATAAATGGCCAGATATCTGTACTGAAATTCAATAGGGCTCCCCCAGTTTTAATTAATGTTTATAGATGCTGACAACAAGCGGCCTAATTGACTGTTATTGAAGCCGTTCTAAAAATAGAACAGGCGTCTGCCATTTGATGAGATGGGTGTGTGCTTTAAGACTCGGAAAAGTATCTGATTGATGGATAAAGTTACGCCCATCTAGTTGTGAGTCGATCAAAAGTCAATGCATTAAAGTAGGTACATGTGAGCAAGGCAACTGATTTATTTTCTATAGCAAATAAGAGGTAGTTGTATTATTTCAGTTATATAAGTAAGCCTCAAATGCTTCCTAGAAAGGGTATCAATTATAAATTTAAATAAGAGTTTCCTTTTTAATTTTGAAACATTATTAAGAATAATTATAAATCATTTTGAAATCTTTGAAATATTTCCCATTTCTTTTGGATCACGAGTCTTTAAATCATTACAAAGTGATGAGAATTGACAGGTTACACGAGTGTTGCCTTGGATTTAGCTGTATGCACTTCACGTGTAATCGAGAATTAGCAGGGCAAATATGAGGGATTTTACAGCCTCGAAAGTGGCGGAGATTAAACGAAACAGAGCAGAGCTCCAGAGGCACGACAAATGTTTTCCCTCATTTCCACTTGGCAAATCAATAAACTGAATTCATACAGATAGACATCCGAAGGAGATATACTATATACTATATATAGTATGTGCATATGTTTATTGCTAAGATAAATTCCCCGCCAGCAAAACAGCAAACAGTAAAAATATATGGGAAAAAAGGAGGGCTTTAATGCCAACGATCAATATTTGAACAACAAATCAGCAATGAGAGCCGCGATACAGATACAGTTTTCAACAAAAACCGTACGAGATGCGTGAGGCGAATTAACACCGATGCGTTAACACAATTAGTTGAAAAGTGAAAAACGACATAGCGCAGAGGCAGGAGATTAAATAAAATAAAATCTATATGCCATTCGGGAGTGTCGACAAAAAGCGGGCCAGCAAATTTGCAACTTTACACTCGACGGGCGTTTTCAGTCGCGTAATGAAGCTCCAGCATCGCGGCTGAGTCGAAGAAAGAAACACATGTGCCAGAAACTGAAACTACTAAAGTGCTAAAAAAAAAAAATCTTAGAAAATATATAGTTCCAAGCCATGGCTGATTTACTGAAGGCCCTCAATATCACGGGCAACCTGCTGGCAGGCCTCGAAGATACCGGCAATCTAACGGGTGCAACTGCAACCTCAACGGCCACAACTTTGAGTGAAGGCCTCAATGGCACGGCAACGACCTTGGATGCCACATCCACGAGCAGTGGCGAAAAGATCGATCTTGGCGGTTTCGATTTGCCTGGGAACTACTCGATACTCATTAACAAACTGGAGCAGCTGGCCCTGGGCTTGGACTCGGCCCTGGGGAACTTCACCATCGATCGCCAGGAGGTCGAGATCAACCTGAGTGGGGCAGCCTCCGCAAACGAGGTGGCCGATGTGGCCGACGACCTCTTCGACGTACTGCCAGCTGCTCGGGCTCCTCCGCCGCATATAGCCCACGGATCGAGGATTTATACGGGCGACGATGGCCAGGACTTTGCCCACGTGGTCAGCGATATCTGGATCGGGGTCATTCTTACACTGCTCATCGTCTTTGTGATATTCTTCATTTGCGCTTGCTTCGTTTATCACAAGTTCCAGCAGTGGAAGAACTCATGTAAGTGGGACCAATGGGGCGCATACGTGATGTGGGGTTCCATTTGAATTTTAATGGTAATTAGGGTATTCCCAAACTGTTGAATCTCGGAATGGTTGAATTTTGGTCAGCTGTTTATCAGTTGCTCCATAAAAACTTCGTTTTCAAAAACCAGAGTTTAACCAGAGTTGTCACCTTATTTCATGACAACTTTCCATGACAACTTTGTAACATTTTACAATCTGCAGAATGCCTAATTTAGTTTAAATTAAATTTTATTTTATTTCTTCTTACCTTGTCAATTATCTTAGACATTAACTTATAATAAAAAAAAGTACTACATGTTTTTAATTTCGAAAAATTTGACAGCTGGCCATAGCTGTTTGAAGATTAAACAGGAACAGTTTAAGGTCGTTTCCTCAATTGCCACACATTGTCTGTTAACCTTTAAACAATTCAACAGTTAAGGAATATCCAGAATGTTAGGTTTACATCTAAGTTACTTGGCTTATAATTTGTACTTCATATGTTAAATCATTTTAAAAATTCCTTCATTGCCCTTTTATTTATTTGATACTTATTGGTATTTTTTATGTCATTCGATGTGCTATTTTATAATGTATGGTAATTAAGAAAGTTATATAAATCTATTTACTATTCCCTTAGCACAAATGATTCCACTGATATGATGACAAATAGTTTAAAGCCCTTTAGAAAGCCCTTTACATTTCATCACCATGAACAGACCAACTATCATCCATAATATTTCGCATTACTCAGTTCACATTTAATCGGTGCCTTCATATTTACATACCTGACAAATCAAACATAAACAATTACTCACATAACACGATTGCGCTATTGAAAATTCAAATTCGCGGTAATCCATAAGTCAAATTGCAGAATCATTGAAGCTGAATTAAACGTCAGTGGAAACCCGTTTAGACTTGGACTTTGGCGCGCAGAGCGGATTGCCAAGCAAATAAAAAACAAAAACAGAAACCGATAAAAGCAAATAAACAAAAGTACCAAAAGCAAAGTCTGCGGCAGCAAAGAACTTTTCCAACTCAAATGGAAAAAGCGTAGAACAAAAACAGAAAAATAAAGTCGGGCCCAGCGGAGAATGATTCACCTCCAAAGGGGGAATTGAAATTTCGGCTAGTATTTGCTTAGCACATACCACACAGTCGTATCTTGTGACTCGGAAACAGTGGCGAAGAGCACAAGACATTTCACAGCTTGGCTGGCTAATAAACAATACATGGCTGTATTCTACGAGCTGTCTGTTTGCGCCAACAATTTGCCGAAATAATAATTAGAAGCCGCAGAACAAGAGCTAAGGCACTGAAAAAAATTGTTACTAAATTAGTTGGCATACTATAAGTAGATTATAAAACAACATTTTTTTGAATACAATTAAATTTGGTCTTTTAAATGCCTGAAGGGGCATAATAATTTGATGTGTGTGTTACGACTTTTGTTGTAATTAGCATAGTAGCCGGAAATAGGGAATAGCTTTGCTCTATATAGTATATATATAAACGTATTTAAATGGATAATTCTATTCAAAAAGGTATAAAATTCTGATAAATATTATCCAATTTATTTGAAATGCCTTTTTTCTAATATCTTTAAATTCTACCTTTATAAAGAATGTCTCTATGTCTATATTTTTTCTAATCATCTATTAAAAATTCTATTAAAATTATTTTAATATATTTTTTTTTTAATAATCTATGAAAAATTGTGATGAATTAGGTGCTGCTAAAATCCATGTTAATAACATCCTGTCCTTCTTAATTAATTCCAATTCAAATTGATTGAATTCACACAGCACACACATTGATTAAAACTGATATAACTCAGATTAATTAAATTAAATCAATTAAAAAGTTGACAATTTGGGCCATAAGAGGGCTTTTTTCTGTGTAAGGGGCGACAAGAAACAGAATTGTAATCATATTTTGTCCGGTTTCGACCCTCCTATAAATTATAAAGCAATTAGCCCAATAAATACCCAACTACATTGGCTAAACAGTGGGTGGAGAAGAGCCCCCAGACAATGCGTTCGGGCTCTTATCTTTCGAGAACCCCTTCTCCGGGCTCCTTGGGCCATTGTCTTTGCCGTTGGCCGCCTTCAAAAACAAACATAACGTTTCCAGTTAATTAAAGTTGCAGTCAAGTGGCCCATTTAGAGTGGGAATCTCGAGCACTTGCTGCTGTTTACATTTGCCAACATCTCGAGCCCCCAATACTTGTGCTTCCAGCGTCTCTATAACACTGCAAATTTGTGTTAATTAATTAAAATTCTCTTGTCCTGCATTTGGCCAACTGACTGGCTGTCAATTGTTTGCTTATGGTCAAAATGACTGCTGGCCAATTTCTTTCCTTGGTTCGACTTCAATTAAGCCAAGTCGGTTGTCCCGATAAGGGGCGAATGTAAGTCAAGTGCAGGAAGTCAAAGACCCCGGGCACTAATGGGTTCAGACAAACATGCGGCCCAAAGACAATAAATGTGTAAGTGACTTTTTCACTGATAAAGCCTAACGCAATACAAGTCGGGTTGCCATGGGAATTGATAGTAGTCGGCAATTAAAGAGAATCTTAAAGTAACATACAGACTTGACAAAATTTAAATTGTACTTAAATTTGACTTAAGGGGCATTGTTTACAAATATATGTATGTTAACAATACACAATATAAAAAGTTTCTATAAGAACCACTTCCTCTCAACAATTTAAAGTCAACATACCTATATAATTAACTTAAAGAAACTTTTTCTTAGTTTTTTACTAGAAATACAAGTTTAAAGTTCAAAGTATGAGGTCTTTTAATGAGCTTCATTTAAATTGGATTACATTACTTGCAATATCCTTAAATACAACAAGGAAGAACGCTATAGTCGAGTACCTCGACTATCAGATACCCGTTACTCAGCTAAATAGAGATATGCAAGCAGCAAAGCGAGATTAAAATGCGCCACCTACCGGCGGTATACAGATTTAAGCGTTATGGGCGTTAGAGTGGGCGTGGTAAATTTTTTTTTTTAACCAATCGATAGGTATTGACGAGATCAATACATTTCAGTTAAAATTTTTTTATCTAGCATGAAAATTGTGGGCGTCACAGGTTTTCGCGGTTTGTGGGCGTTAAAGTGGGCGTGGCAAACTTTTTTTTGGGTCAATCGATAGGTATTGATGAGAACAATACATTTGAGTTAAAATTTTTATTCTAGCATCAAAATTGTAGGAGCCACAGTTTTGGGCGGTTTGTGGGCGTTAGAGTGGGCGTGGCAAACTTTTTTTTGAGTCAATCGATAGGTATTGATGAGAACAATACATTTCAGTTAAAATTTTTATTCTAGCATCAAAACTGTAGGAGCCACAGTTTTGGGCGGTTTGTGGGCGTTAGAGTGGGCGTGGCACTGTGCTGAAACAAACTTGCGCTGCGTAAGAAGCTCAGGAATCTGCACGCCAAATCTCAATAGCCTAGCTCCCATAGTTTCCGAGATCTCAGCGTTCATCCGGACGGACAGACAGACGGACAGACGGACAGACGGACAGACGGACAGACGGACAGACGGACAGACGGACATGGCTAGATCGACTCGGCTAGTGATCCTGATCAAGAATATATATACTTTATGGGGTCGGAAACGCTTCCTTCTGCCTGTTACATACTTTCCGACGAATCTAGTATACCCTTTTACTCTACGAGTAACGGGTATAAAAATACTAATACAAATTAAAAATATATTTTTTTAAATTAATAAAAAAATGCAAGCATTTGAAACTTTTTTTTATATTCCTCTGTACATGTAAGCTTAGCCATTTCTAACACTTTTCTCTTATAAACCGTTCAGGTGTTGTTTATTTCGAATAAACTTCAATAAAAACCACCAAAAATGTTCGACTTGGCAACCGAGCAAAGTCAACAGTCAGATGCTAAATACTTTTGCCTAACCACACCCCTGGTCTATTGAAGGAAACTTTTTGTTATACTTTTTAGCCATACTTTTTTGTAGCAAGCCAATGCCTAGACACGTTTTAGGGTGATCTGTTCAAACAACATGTATTTATTTGTATTTATAGAACAGAAATAATTTGAAATGTTGTATATCCCCAGAGCGACTTAAATGTGAATGCGCTTTTTTCCTTTGGTGACATTTTTTCTGGAGAAATGGAGGAGTACAGAGAGTCTTTATCAAACCACGAAACGTCACTCACGTAGGCCCAGACAACAGTGCGTATGAGTGACGGGTCGTGACATGGCGCTCGTTTCGGTTCACGGCTGTTTAATTTCCCTTTAATGAGTTGTTTATCTTTGTGTTGTTGCCGTTGCTACCGCCGTCATTGTTGCGGGCATCGCATTGTTATTATTTTAACTGATTTGCCTCCCAATTTGGGGCTGTTGGCCTGAACCACTTATTGTTTTAAGCTGACACTCTTGACTGGTTTGCTGGGTTAAAGGCTTTAAAGAGTAAATATATGTTTAATATTTGCTTGCGGCCAAAACCTTTGGGCCACAATTTAAATTCTGTTGCCCCGGGGATCTGTATTGATGGACAGGTTAAGTTATGTTAACATTAATCTGCTTCGCATAACCCTAATTCCCACAAAAATAAAGACTCTACTGGTCAATCAAAAGTCTATAAAGATAACTTTTTAGAGCCGCAATTGCAATTTATAAGCCTATTGTGGGTGATATCAATTAGCAGAAATGTCGAAGTACCAAATAAAGATAAGGTGTTTGAAGACTTTGAATGCGTTAAGCCATTAAAAATAAACCACTTTAATCAGGTCATAAAAATGTTGTTTATAAATATAAGGCCTTAAAATCATTTATTGGATGCAAACTTTACCTATAAGTTTAAGGTCATGGTCTCGCCGAAACACTTTGCGAACTGTAATGAAAACTCCTGCTACAATTTTAATCAACTTGCAAATAAAACTTAGCGACTCGGTAATTAAATTAGGCAGTTCCAAATTGATTGAATTGGCAAATGTAATTAACATTCGCC